CATTTTATTTTAAGACATTAAGAGTTAATTAGCATAAATAAAAGCCTTACAATCGTCCTCATAGCAGAGAATAATAGAAGATAACCTTCTTCGATTTCATTCTGATCTGAGATAATTTTGAACAAATTTGTTCATAGTTTGCATATGTAAGAAATGTATTTATTTGATATTGATTTATAAGTCTGTGAGGAATAGACTACAGTAGACTGAATCTCACAAAAAATTAAAATGCAGAGCAAAGGATTGCTTATGTATCTATTCATCCTATTCTTAGCGATGAATAGGAGGATGTCCGACAATGAGAAATTAGATATACATCCGAAACCAATCACTCAAAAAGCGTGTTAAACTATAAATTATTGCAAATTAGCATATAAATAGTAATAAAATTATATAAACATTTAAAAATACATTTAAAAATAAATATTATATATATTTAAAAAATACGGGTTGTTAAGCTTGTTTGTTCTTTCTAGTTCAGATATATCACCCCACTGCGCTTAATTCCACAACCTCAAGAGTTGTTCTCAGTTCATTGCTTCGCTGTTAGATGACGTTAGGTAATAGACAGCCTTACGCTGGTTTCTAGTCGCTTATTCGCTTCTTATTTATAAACATTGACATAATATACAGTCACCTAATGAGTGAATCTGATATGGATAGCTGTAAAAAGCAGGGCACCAGGTTTGAAATCTAGTTATTTGATTAAGATTAGAGTCTTTAAGAAAAGTAGCCCTAATGGAAAAGTAACGACCTACTTATGCAAGCGCGATTTCATTGATCATATTACACATGTTGATCCAATAGGTATCCTTGTTTTATTTAATTTCTTGTAGAGGGTGTTGTACTTATCGATCCAGAATACCTAAAAGACAGAAAAGTTTTTGCCCATGTACTGGCTGCATTCAGATATGGACGTGAAGATCTTGACGTTTTGGGCCTAACATTTCGCAAGGAATTGTACCTTTCTTCGGTTCAAGTCCATCCTCCAGTATATACACCTGGAGATAAAGATAGTCGCGTACTTCTTAATCCCGTGCCATCTACCACTGTTTCTGCAAGTGATTTTAGTGAAAAAAAGAGTAGCAATGAGCATGCAAGCGAGAGTGCATGCAGCTCTCTGCCTGTAGATTCTATAATAAAATCAGATAACCAACCTTTAACCAAGCTCCAGGAAAGATTGCTTCGGAAATTAGGTCCTTACGCCTATCCATTCTATTTTAAGGTAAATACTAGAACAATGCATTATCATTTGTTTTGGCTATAGTAGCCTGCAATTAAGGATTTCCTTTGCCCCTACATCTTTAATATGCCTACCCTT